ACGCGATTTCAAAACCTACCATGGACATGTACACGTAACTAGCGTACAACTCGAGGTTGATTTGCTTGTTTATACCAGCCTCGCACTCTTCATGGTAGTTCTGACGGCACTGAGACATCTTGGTCGTTAAAGGTGTAGAGATCGGTAAGATACGACGTAAAAATCTTGGTGGAACTACTGCCTCGTTCAATCACTGTTGAAGCGAAACAATCCAAAATGGCGCATGGTGCAAGAATCGAAGGTTATTACCTCCCTCATCACGTGATTCACGTGATACAAAAGATGTCAAGAGCTGATTGGTTAATTTGGCTTCAATGATTGTCGTCACCGAACACGTGAACAGAAAATCTGCTGCGTAATGACCGCAGCTAAAATTAGCCAAAAATACTACGTAATGCAATGTGAATAAGCACAACCGTACATGCACAAAAGGATCATAAATCAAAAGATAAAATGAAAAATAATATAATTTTGACAACCAAATTCGAAGAAAATCCTTGGGAATTACGTGTTTGAATATAAACTGTGGACGGTGGGGAGGGGTGGTAACGGGTTAATTGACTTGAGTTCTCACCAGTCACGGTACGGTGGGGCGGTAGGGAAATACTTGATCCCGTAAGCGACCACCCAAAATGTTAAGCCTGGTCGTTTACGAGAGCTAAGGTCACAATTTTGCTTCATTAACATATTGAAACTGCAGAGACTTTCCCCATGTTTTAAATGTTTTGCTTATGCGACAACTCAAATGCGAGAAAAAATCCGGTACTTTCCATTGAAAAATTTCCAACTCTTGTACTACCATGAATACAATGTTACAACACCTTATTATCCAGTTTCTGCTCTATTATCTTTCAAGTGGTCGTTTACGGGAGGTAAAAGACAAAAGAAAATTTCAAACTTTTAGCTCTAAAAGTGGTTGCGGGACGCTTATGAGAGGTGGTCGCTTACAAGAGGTTCCAAATATAGTGATTTGACTCCGAATTTTTTTGCTATTTTGGAATACTGGTCGCTGAGGAGAGGTGGTCGCTTACGAGAGGTGATCGCAACCGGAGGTTCGACTGTATTTTTATTCTTTTTTCCTGAAATCTTTATTTCACATGCTGTACGCTTTACATGTAATCCAGTGCAGTTCCATTTTGTTTCTTGATACTGCGCGCAAGCAGTGATTGGCAAGTCAATCATGTGA